AGAATATAATATCTAGATGCAAGCAATCTCAAATGATGCTGACATACATCCTTGTAAGGTATTAGAATACTAGCATAAAGATTCCTCAAATCCTAGAATCGATACTAAAAGTTTGGTTGAACTCCAAATGCTGCAATTATGTAGGGTTTATCCCCCACCAAACCCTCAAAGATTCAAACTATACTACACAAAAACCTAAATTTTCTACCTGAGCAATGCATCCGCCAAGTCCCATCCCCTCGAAGACCTGATGAAACGCCAGCGCCACCACCAGCGGCCTTACCGGCCTTCTCGATCCTCTCGTAGTTCTTGGGGCCCGAGCGGCGTCCTCGAGGCGGGAGGAGGCGACGACGTCGACGAGGAGGGCAGGAGGGCGCCGACGATGCCGCCGAGGCCGGAGAAGGGGAAGTTGCGCCACGGATGGCGGGGAGCCACGTGGCAATCGGAGAGGGCCTGGAAGGAGTCGGGGAGGACGTGGACGAGGGAGGTGGAGAGGATGACGCCGGCGGCGAAGGACTTGATTAGGGTTAGGGTTGGGAGGACGTGGACGAGGGAGGTGGAGAGGATGACGCCGGCGGCGAAGGACTTGATTAGGGTTAGGGTTAGGGTTAGGACTTAATAATGAGTGGGTTTAAAAATAAAGATAGGTAAACAATAGGGTTTAAAGACAAAAACCCCTTATAATAATATATTTTATGAATAAAATAAAAATATAAAAATTAAATGCTAAATCAAATTAAAATATTACTTTCATAACTTCAACTAAAGATTACATTTAACATCACAAAAGAAAACATCACACTTGCAAGCAAAAATAAATTTGAATTGGTGGTTCAAAATATAGGGAAAAAACAAAGCATAGATATAAATAGAGAGAGGATTAGGTTTGAAAAAATATATGGTGCCTGTTTCGAACCAGGGTCCTCAGGCTACATTAAACACTATCCATTCCATATTTATCCGTGGACTAAAGGCCTTTTGGTTTTACATTCTATTATATATTGATATAAAGTAGTTTTCAAAACATGAGGTGGTCAAGTGAACCACTTTGAACAGGCATGGGCTCGCACTGCCACAAATGTCAATTAATGCATCTCGAAGTGCAATATGAGCTTCTTTATTTCTTGATTTGTCGATGACGAGCCAGAAATCCTTCAAACCGAGCATTTTCATCTACAACCATCTCTAGTCGGAATGGTGCTCCTTCCAATTTTCAATTGTAGCATTAAGATCATTCATCCTCAATTATCATGTTGTGCATAATAATACCGGTTCTGGTACTTTTGCCCAATATTTCGAGCATCTCTCCTTCTGATGATACTTTCCCAGAATACTGAAATGTTGTTTTAGTTTATGTTCTATGTTCTATTTTCCTTTAATTTTAATGTATTGCAATTAGTGTAATTTCCAATGTTGTTTAGTTTATGTTCAATGTTCTATTTGGTTCTAGTATATGAAATTTTAAGTGTTTGGATTAAACTATCTATTTTTCCATTGTGAATTTATTTTAATTTATTTTATATAAATTTTATTATATATGTCATATCAAAATAATAAAAAAATAAAAGTACCATGAAAATTTTGATCATGAAAAAAAGAGAACATTAAAAACCACAAAATGAATAAACTCCATGGCCTAAAAAAAAAATATCACTGCGCCAAAGCTACAGTGCTCGCGCCATATCTGGCGCAGCACTGTAGCTCTCCCCAAAATGGCGCTGGAAAGAGTCGGTGGAGAGAAAGTAACTTTTTTTGCGTCAAATTGATGGGATGAAGTTCGGTTGGAGAAGCTCTTACATGCGCAAAATAGCGCTTGAAGACAAACGATTCCGTTTTTTTTTTTGTATAACTTGATAAATTTTCGCATTCAATTCATAAACAAATTATTAACGAAGTACGTGCTTTATTCGGTTTATATTTCATATTTTATACGTATTAATTGAACAACAATTTAATGAAATACTTTAAAAGTATCTCTAATCAATATATCAATATACATATATATATCTTTGTATTCTAACAAATACATATTGATTTATATTTTGTATTTTATGCATGTTAATTGAACTTGTTGCAAATATTATATAGCCCTAAGTTTCACTACAAATCCAATACTATGAATATAGAAATATAGATCTAAAGAACACAGAGAGAGAGACAGATAGAAAAAAATATCTGAAAGAAAAAGCTGTTGTAGGCCCAATAAACTTCAGGCTTCAAAATTAATGGGCCTTGTATGGTGCAGCCCAATCGAGTTAACATTTGGTGCTGGGGTTTTCGTCCTCTGTCGTGCCTGTCTCCGTGTTAGTTCCAATCGCACGCTCGCTCTGGCGCCTTCTCTCTCAGCGCCGCCGGTCGGTCGAAGATACCTGAAGGGGTACTGAATGGAGAACAAATTCCGAGCTGCACTGAAGAATCTGAATTTTTTTTCTTTTTTGAATGGGCACTGAAGAATCTGATTTGAAAATGGCTAAAATTGCACTAAAATACCTTGTACTTCGCTAATTTAGCACTTACATACCCCAGTTGTTTTTTGGAGCATTTATGTACCATGATTTGTTTAAAACCAGCACTTTAGATCTCTTGGTACACAAACAAACATGAAATTTTTCATTTGAAAGTTCTCCTATGACATTCTTATATGCTAATTTTATAACTTTCTAATTATTAAATTCCCTGAACTTAATGTTAAAACTATTCAAATTTCGTTTTTCAAATAGAATAGAATATACTTAAATAAAATCACGATATACTTAAATTAGAATTTGGGTAGGACTAACATTAAATTTAATACATATTAATGACTAAAAGGCTCTAAATTTAACATGTGAATATTATATAAAGAACTTTCGCGTGAATATTTTTATGTTTCCATAATTGAGAGTACTAAAATGCTAAGGGGCTGTTTGGTTCGCTATTATAAGGGGTGGAAAACTCAGAAAACCCATCCACGTCAGATTTTTAGCTCTCCACGTCAGCTTTTTTGTTTCCGTCCATTTCTTTGTGCCGCTTTGGTTCGCTCGAATGGAAGAGGGAAAACTCTGCTGAAATCGCCGCCAACTAAGATTTTTTTCCCTCTCCGATTTCCTTCCCTAACCAAGTGAAATTGATGAAAACCCTGCCACGTCAGATTTTTTTCCTTCTCTGCTTTGTTTACAAAAGTTTTCCTTTTTTTTCTATGCGAACCAAACACAAGAAAAATAAATACATTGGTTTCCCACCATTTTTATGTGCGAACCAAAGCAAAACAATCTATTTCTTGTAAAAGTTTGGAAAACTCAAAACTTGTATTTCTTTACATGGAATTGCATTTCTCTATATCAAGGAAACGAACCAAACAACCCCTAAGTTTAAACAACTCGGGTATATAAATGCTTCAGAAAAACAACTGAGGGTATATAAATGCTAAATAAGTGAAACATAGGGTATTTCAGTGCAATTTAGCCTTTGAAAATCTACCAAAACAAACACATAATTGCGTTTGTGGAATGTGTTCCGACATTTTTAGTGCTGGTAGGCCCACAAATCAGAAAGAAATCCAACTGGGCAGCAAACATACAAGAAACAGTTTCTCGCTCCTCACCAACCGCCTTCACCTGGTGCTAAAGGCTCGTTTGGATAATTAAAATATTGAAAATAAGAAGTAGGCTACAGAAGTAACTTTCAAAACTATAAAATAGGAAGTAGCGGAAATAGTATTTTTTTTATTTGTTTCATATATTTTTAGAAGTAATGGAAATATAACTTCTTCATCTTCATTTACTTTTTTGTTTGAATAATATTTAAAAATATTACTATGAAGTAATTAATATATGTTGCTTCCATTTTAGGACCCATTTGGATAGTTGGGAGTATTAGAATAAGAGGTAGATCTAAGAAGTAACTTCTAAAATTATAAAGTTTATCATCTCAAATTATACTATACAGAAGAAATCTGAGAATACTACTAAACTTGTTGTTGATGTATCTCAAGTTATTCTACAAGGGGGAAAAAAATCTGTGCACATATATCAAGGACCATATTAGAACATCTAATCAATCATATAGGAATGAGAACTAAAAAAATTAGTTCAAAAAATATTGGGATATACAAAACAAAATCAATTTCTTGTCATGATTTGTATCTATATGCAGCTCATGTTCACATGTATAAAAGAGGGGCCCATAGGATTGGATTATGAAGACATTGAATCTAAAATTGACCAGTAATTTTTTTATAGTGTCGATTGCATATTGAGCCAGAAGAGCAGTTACTAGATTTGGATCCTTAAGAAATTTTTCTAAAATAAGTCATGACACACATTTAAGGCAATGATTGAAATGCAAATAAATGTTTCTGTCATATGCGCACCGAGCAATTCTAGTGGCAGTCACCGGTTAGCGATTGTCTCTTTGCTCGCGGACACGTGCCCAAAAAGCAGTGCCAAGCCTAGACGTATAGCCCCCCAACCCTGTATCCAAACCTAACACTAACCCAGCAAAAAAGAACTTAAAATTGGTGGTAAATTGCAGAAAGCCCCCTTAAGTTCTGCGCCACTTAGCTTCTGGTGTTTCTCAGATAATTTTCCTTAAATTTTAAAATGTCAGAAAGCCCCCCTAAGATTTGGGTTTCTCAGCCCCGTTAACTTTAATGCCCTTTGAAGCATGAACACACGTGAAAATTGCAGTTAAGGGTTTTTTTTTTTGTGGGTGGGCTGGGGATATGTTGAAAGTTGAAGGGGCCTTTATGAGAACCCCAGAACTTAAGGTGAAGTTTGTGACATTTTGAGAGCTAAGGGTGGCTTTCTGAGAAATGCGCAAACTTAAAAGAAAGGTTTTCTGAGGTTTACCCGGAAATTGGAGGAAGAGTTACAAAAAATTTCTTATCCGTAGCATGTGTTGTCTGGCTATCAAGTATTTATACGAAATGGATTCAGCAAAAATAATCTGAAACAATATGTTAATGCCTTTTTGCCTAAAATCCCCAAATATATTATCGAATAACCAAAAAAACACAAATATTTTGAAAGAAATTGTGATTATTCAAGATATATTGCTACCTTTTCAAAATATTTACCAGTAAAAGTAACTTTTTAAACAAACTGCTACCAGACTAAGATACAATCAAATTCTCTGTTCATTCACTGAAAACTCAAATATCTGCCTTTTCTCCTCTGCTGTACTGATCAAGTATAAACTGCCATTCTCTATATGAGGCTCCACTGCACAATCAGAAGAAATAACCTTTGTTGTTCTTCCCTAATATTTTTCTTCTATTGACCCATTTCATCTACAATTCCATCCAGGCGAAGGTCATTTCTTATTAAATGAAAAAAAAATAGCTTCTGTAACCTATAACTGGCTCGAAAATGGTGCATCTTGAAGCACAAGGAGAGAAGCCTGGAGGTAAATCAATGGAAGGTGGTGTTTTCAAGTTTCATGTCTCAACAATTTGATCGTTTGGAACTTGACCAAAAATATCGGGACAGCCCTCCCATTGGCCCTTTTCTCGGGATTCCCAGTAACCACCCATGTATCGGTATGTGTCTCTGCCTTTATCTTTGGCAAACCACCGAGGCCTCCAACCTTGCTCCTGCATCTTTCTCGCCTGTAGAAAAAAATAATCACCACCATGATTTATGGACATATTGAGGATGATACACAGAAAAGTTCAAAATATAGATGATGATGGGCAAATCCTACATAAAGCCCTCTATAGAATAGATGAACCTCGATGCACATATAACTATCAGCTATAAGTGTAGTCAGATTGGTTATCAGGGCAGTTGCTGATAACAGATAATGCATGCATCAAGATCTGTATTACACCATGTGTCTTCATCTCCTATTTCCTATATGGTTTTTTATAAAGGGAACTCTAGATATTATTTTCTAAAAGAACTTCGGTACTGTATGTTTCTGCATTTATAACAACCGAACACAATCGAAACTGACTGCAAATGTAAATAAACTTGTTAGAATTGATGGAAATAAATTTCAGACGTATATGTTTCTGCATTTGTATGACAAGCAAACACAAAATAAATTGACTACTTCATGTATTCAATAATACAAAATGGGGAGGGATATAAGTTCCTAGTCTAGAAGATATGGTTGTATTTTAGTTCAGGAAGTAGGAAAGGAAGCAAATATTTATGTTACTTTTAAAAAATGAAAAAAAAATTGAGGCTAGAAGTCAACCAATCACAGTCCGAAATAAGTAACTGAACTTTGTATAGGGCAGACATTTAACATAGCTTTTTATCATCGCATTGTGAAAACAACATAGAACTTTTACAGGTAAAGAACATAGATTTTCCCCGTCCTGAAGCACTAGTACTAGATTTTGTTTATATGAAACAAAGGTCAGGTCATTGCAACTTGGAAATGAGGAAATTAAAATAAAATGCTGCAGCAATTAAAATAGAGTACTTTGATGTTAACAGATCTTCACCTGACGTTGTCTCTGCTCCAATCTCAACTTTTCTGCATTTGCCATTTCATACTGCCCATTCTCCAAGCACCTCTGATCAGGCCTTAGCCTTGAATCTGTAGGTGGTAGCTTTTCCTGTATATCATCATGGGGCAAACTAAATTGTAACAAAAGAGCTTTGATTGTAAAAAAGAATTAACGGTTCCAGAAAAGGAAGTACCTGTTAATACTACAAGGATAAAATAGAATAAGAAAAAAGAGTACCAATGTTGCATCTCTAACCTTTAGTCCAGGAGTAAGCTCATTCAATGTAATTGCAAAGCGTGTCAAGTTGTACCGAGTTGGATATTGAGCAGGTTTACTCCGTTTCCATAAGAGGTGGGCTTCAGAGACTTCAGTTCCTTTGCCTTTTCCGGAGTAATCTCCACTGACATAATGCATGCTCTCATCCCACTTACCAAAGAGAGTGGCTACCGTTTTACCATGGCGATTTTGAACTACTCCATGGACCTACAAATGCAAAATTACTAGATTATTTAGGTTCAGTTTCTGGGCGCAATCAAATATCAATCAGAAAAATGAAATAACCTTAATTGACTGTTTTAGTTTGATCAAAATTTCCAATTAAGTTGGCCAAACATACAAGAAGGATGTAAAATCAGATCAGAAGGTTTATATAAAAACGGACCGAACCAACTACTGCATTAGTTTTTTGGCACCACAGTTAACCATGACATGCTCTTTTGTTCTTGGATGCCATAGGTATAGTAACAGGTCTATTAACCTTAGGATTCTAATCACCTTGGCAAAACCCTCCATGTTTAACAAACTCACACGATAACTATATTGTCTCATGCTAAATTAATTGGTAGTTCTAACATTAATCAGGTTGTAGGTCTGTGGCATGAATGCCCTGACTGCCTCTTATGACGTGTGAATAGGGTACTGACTTGCAGCCATTTTTTCCTTTCTTCTCTGATCTTAGAACACAATTGCCAAGAAAGCATTGTGCTAATTTATCAATTAAGCGCAAGAAGTAAGAAGAAGCACATGAGAAAATTGTTACTCGTCATAGCAAATCCCGAATTTGTTAAGGCCAAATGAAAAAGAGTACTCTTATGCTTCAGTTCTAGTCATCTGTTTCAAAATGTATGGCTTTTAGAGTGGATAAATATTTGGATTATTTCTTCGACCTTTCAAAAAATAATTAACTGGGTCAAATCAGGTGTAACAAACAGGTAAGAAAGAACATCCTTATGAATGATGTATATTAGAGGTTGCTTCTTTCCTGATCACTGGATGTATTTAATAGTCGCCTGATTATCAAAAATGCCGACATTGTGAGTTGGTTCGTCCAAAACAGCCTAATCCTATTCAACATTCCTCCAATGCGGACTCAATCCAACCAAAGGCCAGGTTGGGACCTCAACAATCCACGCCCGAGCTGGTCAGGTCACAGCTCAGATGCTCAGATTGAAAAGAACATGTGACACCTGGGACCTCAACAATCCACGCCCGAGCTGGTCAGGTCACAGCTCAGATGCTCAGATTGAAAAGAACATGTGACAATGATGAACGACAACAGATAAACAAAGGGCTCTGAAATAAAAAGTTACAGGAGACAGTTCAAGCTTTAGCGGAGACGAGTACTTCAGACAAAGGGCAAAGACAGTTCCATAAGGGAGGAGGATTAGTAGCTGAAACAAATAGACAATTCATACACATGGAAAACTTCAAGCTATTATAAACCAACAATCTATTTTGGTTGAGATGGAAGGAGAATTGGAAGGTATATTGACGGAAGCTTGGCATTTCATTTTACAGGTTCAATAGTGAATAAGACAGGCTAGATTCAATTTCACAGTTCACCAGTGGATGGGACATCTGGCTTTCCGTTTTGAAATTGCATACATGTCAAATATAAATTAAGGCATCAGGAGGTGGGAGAAAATGAAAACACCTGATGGGGATTGCGATCAATTATAGATTGCTCCTTGAACTTTAGCTTACATGAATATTCACGATTTCCTTGTACTCGCATTGTACCATAATGGTCACAATATAGCTTCCCAAGTATAAGGTTGTAGATGGAAGTCGTCACCTGAGACAAAACGCTGAATTTCAGATGGCATAAAAGAAAATATAAGTTAGGATATACACTATCTCTATTGAATGTTCTACCTTGCTCCATTGAAAAACTTCTCCATCGTCAAACTCGAGAGTTAGAACACCAACAGGATCAAGCTGGATAGAACGACCCCAAAACTTGCTTTTCAAGGTACTATCTCCCCAGAACTTCCATCCGGTACCCTCACAATGGCATGCAACAACCATAGGATGATGACTGACCTGCATTACATGGCGCCAAGTAAGATAGAAGAATATGTATTATATAAGTATATGTGCTCTCTACAACTCTTGTATGACCATCAAGTCACAAGACAATAAAGCGAAGCAGGAAAAAACATATTACAGTAATGATACAGTAGCAAATATAAAACATGAAGAAATTTCAACTGCGCATATCCTAAAGGTTCATTTGAACAACGCAGATCCTATAGCTCTATGCATATTCTAAAGGTTCATCAACATCATTACATCCACCGACTGCATGCAAGATTTTCTCCAATCCTTCTCTAAAAAGAAAAGGTCAGAAGCGGTAGTGAATCAGCCAGAGGCAAATGTATACATACAGACAATATTACTAAAATTGCAAATAAATTTATAAAGCCTTAAATTATATTGAGAAAAGTCCTTGAAAATTAATATAAAGTACATCTGTACATAATGCTTACGAATACATGTAGTAAACACAAAAAAAATCAGCTGCACTCTAAGTTGCATGGAAATGGGTATGGGTACTGATATGGGTACATGACGCATCAGATCTGTAAAAGGTAGGATACAGAGACAGGACCATAAATATTATATATATATATATATATATAATATAAATATATATATTACTATATATATATATATGAGAAAAATGGGTATGCTTGGTAACAGCACAAATTTTGTGCTTTGGTAGCGAGGTGCTCTCATTCTCATCCACTCATTTATTGGGGGGACCACATTCACCCATAGAATGGATCCCCCTATTTTGAATGAGGTGGAGGATAATATGGCCACGTCACTACCAAGCACAAATTTTTGTGCTGGTACAAGCATACCCATATATATATATATATATATATATATTAATATATATATATATATATTATATATATATATATATATATATATATATATATATATTATATATATATATATATATATATATATATATATATTATATATATATAATATATATATATATATTATCCGTCTATATATTCATATATATAATTACATATATATATAATATAATATATATATATATACTCACACACACACACACACACACACACACACACAACCACACACACACCACATACTTCCGATGTAATAAAATTAATAACTTACATGAAATCAATATTCATCGTGATTAAAATTCCTATAAAATTTTTATATTTCAATTTATGTAGATTATAAATTGGAAAACTGCTCTTTTTTGAACTAGATATCCAAAGGGCCCTTTAAAATCATAGTTGTTAACAATGGGCTGAAAAGAACTTGACCCATGTCCAACAATTTCTAAGTAGTTGTGAAGTGTAGGATATACGTCCAATAAGTGTATGATAAGTGTTTTAAATTAAAACATGTATTATATAATTGGTACACACCCAATAAACAATGCATATATTCAAGAAGTGTTCAAGAAGTTTGGATGCGGGTACATGTACAGATACAGCTTCAGATAGAAGTATCCAGGTAACATAGGTTGCATCATTGCACTGATTTTGTCAGTAAGCAAGTTTGCTATTACCCATAGTAACTTCTACTAAAATTTTATCCAGGTGTACCTGGTAAGTTCCCGCCAACTGAAGAAGATGGATCTGGACAAATGAGACTACAGTGCATGCATTAACCTACATGTAGTTTCTGAAGTATTCCCTCCTAGTCCTATACTGTAATGGCAGCATGCTATCTCCAGGTGAAGTTTTCACGCTCAGAATATTACAAGAATTCCACCTGTGACTTAAAATATTAAATCAGATGAATCCAGGTTCATAGAGTATAAGTCAGAATTCCACCCGTGACTTAAAATATTAAATCAGATGAATCCAGGTTCATGGAGTATAAGTCTTACTTAAATGACATAGATTGAAAATCTTCCAAGCAGCATACTACGAAGTGTTAATTATGGAAAAAGGGAAGAAAAAAAAAGTCAGCAGGCATATAAAGGTAACAATGACTAGGAACAGCTTGAATGATACAGCAAAATCTTATATCTACTTCCAAAATCAGTATTATTGATTAAAATATACAGCAATAATTTACATAAAATTGATGGTTAAAAAATAACTGTCTATGCAATAGTTTACATAAAACTGGTGGTTAAAAAATAACTGTCTATATCTGCACACCTTTTCTGAGAAAAATTTGAGGCCTTTGTCTGGATAGTCAGCTTCATATGTTTCACCCAGAAGTGGATTGAATGGCTTGCAATCTCTACCTTCAGTTGAAGCATATCCAGAAACAGCAAATGCAGCCACGTTAAGGATCCTCATAAGACCATTTCCCTTCATAATTTAAACAAAATTTAAGAGATTAAAGGAAAATGAGAAGGTTGTTATAACATATAAAAGCAAAAATGCATAAGTACCTAATCAAAGAAAGTGAAAATTTATATCGTTGTGTAAGTACAAAATTAAAGTAAAATATACTATAAGATGTTGGTGTTGATCAAAGAGTTTATGGATCAATAAAAGGTAGTTGGTTAGCATGAATAACCAAACTGTACGGAAATATCGCTACCTAGTGTCTAAGCATCATGTAGATTTAAAAAGAAAAATCCCCTCATGTATAGATCACCTCTCTTAGCATACACGTAAGATGATCAAGTTAAGCAAGCTCTTTTTAAACTAAAAATCTAGGAATTCAGAATGTACGACAATAGGTCGCTCAGGAGATTTTAAGACTAGCTCATTAAAATCTGACCTTAACAGGACACATCAATAAATCGACATAAACAATTACTGACATTATAGAAGGATCAAGACATAAAATCAACTTGAATACGAAAAACACACTTAAATGAATATTATTATTAATTTTTGTTTGAGGTATTAATGTATACTACAATTAAGCATAAATGACATGACTCGAGTCATGCAGGTGAAGAAGTTAGAACCTCCACCAACTCATTTATTTAGAAGGACCGGCTGGAGGGAGTTAAGGCTTATGTGAACTCTCACTAATCTCTGGTTAGTTTCAAGTTAGCCTTCATTTTCCATCTAGGAGAACATTTCAGTGCTCAATAAAGATGAATGCTTAAAGTTTATAACCAACAAAAAACTAATAATCAAAGCATCATCCAGCGTTATGTCCATTCATATAGCAATTACAAGATGAGAAGGTCAGGGTCATTCGTCTTGACAGATTCAATGAGATCTATAGATCATTAATCATAAAAAGACTAAAAGCAAAACAAAAGACCTCACCAGCATTTTCACTCAATCAGATTATGGTCCCTTAATTATCACATCAATAGACACCACCTAGACAACTCATTTGTCCTCATTCTATATAACTTGAGCACCATTCATATCCATTGTTTCAATATATTAACACTGTTCATATTCATTGTTTCAAGATAAACAGCAAAGCAAAGAAATTGGTGACTGTAATGAAAAGTGGAAATACAAGGCTGGAAATAGTTAAATCTGAAGCAAACGAAGTTTATAATTTCATATGGGAATCAAACAGTCAACTATAAGTTTCTACATTCAGGTGGTTCTTCAATTCTTACAGGATGACAGTTAAACAAGAACGAATAATTACAGCTGGTACTAAAAAGGTTAGCAATAAAATTCTCTAATGCTTCAGATAATAAAAGTTACGAATGAACCACATTGTCCGACAACAAGTAATTATGCTGGGACTAAACATTTAGTATTACACACAGAGTACTTCAGATAAATAACAGTTACTATGGAACCATATCGGCCAACACTACTCATAATTTATGATGTCAATAAATTAATTTAGCAAGTATTAAGTTTGTCACCAAAATATGTGTAGCATGAGAAATCTGGGAACTTAGGAGAAGTTGAAAGGACATACCTAGGTGAAACGATATCATTTTTGTTTGCACAAGACCTACAATTATATGATATGGAGAGGATGTAATTTTGATGCAAGTGTGAAAGACTTTGTCTGATATAAGAGATCCTAGAAATCTTGAACTGGAAGATGAGACCTGACAGTAGTTTCCATAGTCATGCTACACTACTTACAAAATGAAACTAAATAAATAAAAATACCTGTTTACCCCATTCATATGCACGGTCTAGAAGGTAAGAGTATTCCAGATCTTCAAAGCATTTCTGTAAGGATGAAAGCGGTTCATTGAAGTATACAGGAAGGCAAACTTTGGTAAGATCTTTCCCGATATTGTCTTTTATCATTGACCAAAGGCTGACTCCTTTCTCTTTTTCAACTGGATCAGGCAACTTTTTACGTCTCTTGATATACGGATAATTAGCCGTCATTGCCCTTACGGTCACATCAGAACCATCGATTGAACAAATCGAAATTTGCTCCTCATCATCAGAATCGATTTCTGATCTAAGAAAGTCAGAAGAGCTGCTCTTGAAAGAACTAGAGGAGAGAAAATCCCGTGTATCAAAAAATGCATTATCCTCTTCTTCAGAATCTTCTTCTGCAGCATCTTGTCTGTCATTGTCATCCTCCAATTCACTTGTACTTCCTTCTGAAGAAAGATTGGTGCACAAATAAGATAAGGATCAAAGTATCTTAAAAATGCTACGAAGAAAAAGGCATGAACAAAAGTGTTCAACACACAAACAGTCAACCAAAAATCCAAATGAAACACCAGTCCATAAAAATGGTATCAGATGGAAAGGAGAAAACAAGCAAAGTCTCAGGTTCTATGCCAATAAAGCAAATGTGTAGCTTAATCTTGCGTTTAATCAGAAGAAATCATCTATGAGATGAGTAAACTTGATTCTGTGAATATCTTATTAGTATTTTATAAAGTTGCCATAGATGCTTAAGAAACAACTCATAACGTAAAAGTTAAAAGAGTTAGCAGCTTCTCAATCAAGAGATAAAAATAATATCAATTACAAGCTCCACTTTCTGATAGAAGAGGCATCAGATTTGGGGAATACAAGAATAAAGGGTTACCAAATAATTAACTACCCACAAGTTCAACATCAGGTACAAAACTAGCAGGCTTGTGAAAAAATTTCTAACAGTAGGTCATACCGCTAAATTTCTCATTTCTTGATCGAAAAGAAGATCCATGCTCTTTTGACTGCCTTTGGCTCTCATCTACAAGGGTATTCTCCAAATCTACCTTTTCTGTCTACATAGCAAAGAAAAGAATAGTATTTCAGTAGAATATTGTAGAAAAATTTAATAACTAAGGCTGTATCTAAGTATACATCTACCGGTGTTTCATGTAGCTTGCTGACATAACTGAATTAATGCATCAAGAGTAAAGTTTATGCCCCAAATAAAGGAGAGAGCAAAATAACAAACATCGAAAATTTTCAACCCTACAACCCATAGAATAATAACTTGTAATATAATACAAGATGTTTTATCAGAGCTGTATGGTATCTATAAAAATCATGCCATTAAATCTAAATTTTTTAACTAAGTTTTGATTTTACAAAAGTAACAGCCAAGTGTCTTAGTATTCAACACTATGATAGCGTCATGTGCTGATCTGACGATCTGGAGATTCATCACTATGATATTGTCATGTGTTAAGCAAAAATAGCGAACAGACTGAGCAGTTGTCCGATGATGTGCTCTTGTCACATAAGTATGTGTGAGAAAGAGAGGTGGCTTTTTCCTCTTTTCCCTCAACCAAATAGTTTGGAGGGAATAAGTATTCTGGGTAGGCCACTCATCCATGCTAATATTTTACATAAATTCTCTTACTGTTTCTCCAACTTCACTAATGACTGTTTGGAACTTCAAGCAAGTACGTCGGTCTATGAAACCCAGCTAGCAGCCACTGCGGTTTTCAACATGAACTGCATGACTGTTTGGAACTTCAAGCAAGTACGTCGGTCTATGAAACCCAGCTAGCAGCCACTGTGGTTTTCAACATGAACTGCATGGTAGCCACTATAATCATCCTACGTACTCTAGTTTTCGCTAATGCAAGCCCGTTGGTCCCATTTCATTAAGGAAACTTACATGAAAGCATATTCTACTAGGAAGTTAGACAAGATAAAAAGTTCTCTCTCCTCTTCTTTATCTCTTTATGCACACGCCTTCCTTCCTTCTCTTTCCTCTGTCACAGACCACTAAAAGAATGTTTTAGGTACTCCATGCCTTTAGTGATTTCTTAGCAAACAAGTAACCTGATACTTGAATTATGATTAAAGAAAACAGAGCAGTGGAGTGTGAGGTTTTCTGTAACTGTTAGTACAAGTTGAAAATTTTACCTTGAACAAGTCATCCTTTCTTCTCCCTACTGCTTATTGATTTTCCTCAGCATCCTTTTACTACTTGAGTAGATTTGTTTCTTGGAAAATAAATTATCTTTTTCTTTTTACTGTTACTTCTGACATTACATATAGTTATTTCTTTTCTCAAGTCATTTTACATCAACTTTACCATGCACCTTCACTTAAAAGATGCAAAGCATGTCTCTAGCTCTACCTTCTCTTCATGCTACCAAACTGTTCTTTCCTGAAATTTTCCCTTAAAATTTACTGTATATTCATGGGATGGCAAGCAATTCATATTATTAGATTGCGCCACCAATCTATGGACCACCCAATTATCAGGGAAGGAGAAATCCCGCAACCAACAAAACTCTAATTGTAAAATAAATAAACAGCTGTTACAACACCAACTAATCCTCGCATGAAGCTTCTTGCTTTCGTCAATAACAAATCCTATCAGGAACATAGATTATATAGCACACGTTTGCTAAAAGGTACACGTTAAAGAGAAACAGCATTCAAAAAAAAAAACTATCATCACTTCTTACAAAGAGGAAAGTTACTCATTGTGCAGAACGTCTGCCCAACTATTTCCAAAAGCAGGATCTATCAGATGAAAACTTTAAGCCAGTTCAAATTAAATTGGACTTCAATTAGCCAAGGAAAATCACTATTTACATGAAATACTTGCATGCATGCAACAATGAACCGACAATTGAACAACTGTAATATAGTACCAACTAAGATTCAAGTCGATTTGTTTATACCTCCAACTGCCGTAGTGTATCAATAAGCCTCGCCTGCTTCTGCTTAAGCAATGTAAGCTGAGTCTGCAACGCTGCAAACTCATTCCTCATGATCTGTTCACTATCTTGAATCGCCGCCTCACTAACCCCCTCCTTCATCAACCTCTGCCTCAATTTCTCCGTGGACACCGTGAAATTATCCACCGGAGCCATCAATTCACTGTTTGAGATCCTCGGAAACATCTCCTTCACGGCCTGCAAGGCCTCCATCCACATGATCCGGTCCTCCCTCGTCTCCGCCCTAAGATGCAGCCTCTTCGTCCCCGTAAATATCGAAAACTTCTTATCATCCGACCTACTCTCCCTAATTGTCGAAACCTAGCATAAATTCACCCAAAAAAATCAGTAAAAAAATCATCAAAAATTTAAATTTCACTCAGTTCCTACCTTAAGATGGACTTCTCCAATGGCTTTCGGCCGCGTCATCGAGTGGCCATTACTCTGCCGAGACAATCTCCTCATCGATTCCTCACCAATAACCTTCGATCCTTTCTCCCTCTCTTGACTAACCTCGATCTTATCGGGTCCATGGATCTTATAATACGAAAGAACTCCATCCTGAAGCACAAACCACCGCGGTCTCCATCCTTTGCCATAATTCACCCACTTCTGTAAAATCCCCGAGATCCCGTTGCCTACAACGTCATTCAACCTAACCTCTCGATGATCGAGGAGGTGGTTGGATGCGAATCTGAACCCGTTAGCGTTGGAGGAGGTGGCGATAGCAGGCTCAGAATCGGGCGAGGTTTTGGATCTGAAAGTGGGAGAAGAAGGAGGGAGAGGCATCGGAGGGAGAGAGGAGCGGTCGTCGGCGAGATTGGAACTGGCGACGAGCAGCAGAATGGATGCATAAAGATCCGATAAGGACCCGACAAGCGTAGTGAATTTTGAAAGTAGGGACAATTGGGAATAGCTGAGGTTAGATTAAAATACGAGATGAAGGAGTAGAGAATAAGTAAAGGTCGACTTCGCTGGGAGTTGAGACTGGTTCTCTATCGTTGGTTGCTGCCGGTCGTCGCTGATTAATTTAAGGTAAAATTGCTTCTGGCCCCCCCAATTTCCTTACGGCTGGGTTTAGGAACTTTGATTTGGGTTTGAGAAGTTGATTTTAAAATCAATGGATTTTAAATTTAGGATTTAAAATCCATGATTTAAGAAATCTTTTATTTGGATAGCTTTATTAAATGAAAGGATTTGAAATCTTTGGTTTCAAAATCTAGTGTTTGGATACTTTATTATACATGAATTTGAATTTAAAATTGATGTTTTAAGAAAATTTATTCTCTTAACTCATCTTGTTTACATCAAATACAATGGAGATGTGTAAAATAGTAACCAAAAAACACAAATTTAGCTAATTTTGGCGATGATAACTACAGTTGCTAAGTTTTCAAATTCATTACCCATCATAACTTGCAAGGCTTTCGGCAAAATAAAAATGAAGAAAACTCTACAAGCATATCAGGTATCTTACAAAAAAACATCTAAATAACACATCACCATTGCATATTTCAGAGATACCCAAGCTGGAAAATACATGAGGCTTGTTTCATATTTTACACATATTCAAAGTGAGAACAAGTTGATATCAGAGCAAATAAGTAACAATTCCATGTGTTGTGCATTAAAATGTAGCTATCCAAACCTTGATTTCAACCTATAAGTCATGCTCAAACAACATCCTATATAACCAGAGAAGGTGCAACTGACAATTACATAATCAATTTGGTATTTGATATACCAAGCTTGAAATCTATAGAAATTAAAGGAGTGCCCGAAAAGGAAAAATAATAGAAGAAACTTCTAAAGAAGGAAAAAAAGAGGATGACCCTTGAATCACAGTCTCACACCTCTATACAACTAACGAGATCCCTTGTAATCTTCTTCACGCCTGCAAACCAAAGACAAAATTTTACATACAACTTTGACAGAACCTAGAAATAGCATCTGAATCTGAATAAATATTAAAACAAATTAGCATGTTGGGAAAAAAAACTAACTTATCTGAACAAGCTAGATTATGATTGTTAGTTTAAACCACTACCACATCCTGTAATGTATCAATTATTTAACAAAGAACTATTAACACAAACAGTAGAAGACAGCAACTCTAAAAAGAAGCTTTGATATTTCATGCTATTAAACTATTTTAATTCATAATTTACAACACTTGTGCAACTAATAAACTATTGCTGCCAGTAGAAACTATTTCCCAGGATATTGATATTATTATGGTAGATAAATATGATCTCATGGACACCAGCATTTTAGACCTTAACACCCCAATCCCCAGCCCAACCTTTAAAAAAAGAACAAGAATAAGAAAAGAACACATATAAAGAAAAAGAAAAATATAAAGATGAATAGCACGTGAGAAGTGCCCTCCTTGTAAATTACAAGTGAAACGTGAACTTAAAATTACAGAGAACAAGACTGCAAGTGAGAATTCAGAAAAGCTAAGATTATAATCCTTATTCACTATATAGCACAAACAAATGCATAAACAAGACTGCAAGCGAATGACACAGAATGAGTAATAAAGAATTAGCAAATAATGCACGAATAATTACTTAGAAATAGTTGTCTAGTTCATAGGATCTTCATGCATGATAAACTAATAATAGTGTCAGAAACAAGCATGATTTGTGATTTAACAAAATAAAGTGAGTAAACAACTAGCTGAAGGTAAGCAACTCTAAGCAAGTTTATTGATGTAATGAAAGTGAACCACGCTGAAAAATTAATCAACAGTTCCATCTTCAGACAAGTTTATTTTAAGACTTTAGAAGTTGCCATTTATTTTCAGTTCTATGTTGATACAACAAAAGCTGAGTTACTAACAAATTATATACATAACATATGCATATATCCCGAGGCAAGTTTAGATTAGACTTCATAAGCTCTCAAAATGGGAAAATTATGTAATTAACCTTTAATTCTATGATCTACAACAAGTCCTAGGCACTAAACTCGTCACCAAAAGACCTAGTTTGCGGTTCTGAGCATAAGAAAAATAAGTGAGATCAAAACAAAGAGCTAAACGGGTGATCTCATCATGAAAGTGCAAAAAATAGGAAACGTTACTTCAATTACTTTTAAGTTCACATCTAAATATAAGTCATCCAAGTTGAAAGTTCATGTAATCATTCCATATACAGTCATCCAGTCCAAAACATCTATGTAATCATTCCATATAAAGTTGTAAATTCTAGACTATCAAATAAAACTTCCAATCCAAAAGATTTCCACCCTCTCCAAGTATATACAATAAAAGCAAAATGATGTGTCCTGAGTTATCTTGCTCATAAAGAAAAACTAATGATTCTATGTGTGAATATATGAGAAGACATGCCACAAGACATATAAGAAGACATGCCTTAATGAAATGTGAAGTGGCCTAACTCTAGAGATATATTGTTTGAAGCAACAAAGGTGGCTCAACACAACATCTAATAAAAGATGAAACTTAGTCGTGTTCTCTCAATATACCAGGTCAAGGTCAGCAGGAGAAGGTGGAGGCACAAAAATAAAGAAGACCAAAAGAAAAGTAGGAGATTGCAATCATAGAAGACCCTATTTTAGATATGTAAGTCACTGAAAGGTAATCATACCAAAACTCTTCAATATATGAAGAAGGAAGCTCATCATCAGTTGCAGCTCTCACCTTTGTAGAAACCTAAACAAATTCCAAAACTCGAAGTAAATGACAACAGCGGTATAACATATTATACCAATGGTAATTAAAGTGAATCAATGCATAGTAAGGAAGTGCCCTAGAATGTCAATTTGTGTATCCAGTCAAGATTAGTACGATGATGATACAAATAAAAAATAAAAAATCTTTTGATTGAAACAAATCTTAATACCATAGATGTATAAGCTTGAACTTTGACTTAGGAATTATTTGCTATGAAGTTATTCAATGCAAAGCAACCATGCAATGTAGACATCCAGTTGAAACATTTACAGACTAAATTGTGATTATCAATATAAAGCCGATACAACATTGAAATATTGAGCCATTAAAATATTGAGCTGAGAAAATGTTATTGAGGCTAATACACAAAGACGATAGATTACTTGCTTGACATGATCCACTGTAGAAATCTTGGACAGTCATGGGACCCAAGTAGTTGCACTGATCAACTTCCCCAAATGTCGAAATGATTATCTTTAAACACCCAAAAATAGAAAAACATCATTGCATTAATTAATTAATGAACTCAAGAGTCAATATATAATGCGGAAATTCTCTCCTTAAATAATTAACAGTAACCATAGCATATAAATATCTCCCAAACAACAACCTTCATTCCAATTCCAAAATTTCTTCAAAATTGCACGAATTAATCTCAGATCAAAAACACAATGCAACTCTAAGAGAGAGAAGAACTCACGATCGGGTAGCTCCAGAGTAATGAGATGCGCTTTGTTATACGCAGGGAATGCTTCCTCTACTGCCGCCATTTCATAGATTTCATCGTCTCCAAGAATCAATAGTGGATCTCGCCGGCGGGGGGCGTTGGCATGGAACCACTTGGCTATCTCCTTCTTCTGCTTCTCTCCGATCTCCTCCTCGCTGTCATCCGCCATGAGAGAGAGAGAGAGAGAGAGAGAGAGAGAGAGAGAGAGAGAGAGAGAG